TGTGTCCCACAATCTTGCAATTAGTCCATCATTGTCACAAGTAACAGGGATACACCTAAAATAAGCAAATTACACTTCTCAGACAAACTAATCTTCTTAGAGCAGGTGATTTCAGGAAGATCATTCATGCACACAGAACATTTTAACACTGGTGATCAGTACTACTACTACACATCATCTGAACCTATTAACAAATACCATAAAATAAATAGCTTTTTCTGATCTCTATAATATTTACGGTCCACCTCCTGGATTTCCATCTATTTCAACATTAGTACAGAAGGCTACACATAAGCTTAGCCAAGTTTTCACATTCCTGCATCACAATACAGAAAACTATTTAATTATTGTGTTTCATATGCTGAAAACTCCATCAGTCTTGCCCAAAGAAGTGGAAGTGGAAATGGAAATAGCCATTTTTTGTGCATGGTATTTAAGAGAGTTGTACATTGGTGCCCTCTACACACACTCTAGAGAACTGCATTACTTTGGTTTGGTTTCAAATAAACTTGAAAATGGTATGTGATAGATTTAAATAATTAAACAGTACTTCAGGAGCTTAATGAAATGAAAGAACCATTGCAATAACAAAGAGTTATAGTTTATTAGATTTTAAAATAGCAGAAAATGCTCTTTTCCCTGAATAGAAGTGTCACTGACTCAGTATTATTATCACCAGCAACTGACAACTGTTTCTAGAAAATGCCCTGTTTTCCCTAAAAAGAAGTGTCCTCCTTTCTAATAATATCCTGTCGCTGTTCATTATAGTTATTTTATTTAGAAATAGATAAATTCAGGAATCTACTTTTTTTAAAAAAAGTAAACCATATTTTTTAAGCGTTGGGCCTGCACAGGGAGCCAAGAGCACAGCACAGAGGTCCTGCCTCGGTGACCAAACCCTTCAGAGAAGAAACTGCCATTTACTGTTTGTCCGTAGGATGCCAGTGAAGTAAAGAGGATGAGAGAGGATGAGGGTGAGACTGTAACTGTTTGGGAGGGCAGAAGATTAGAAAGTAGGGAAAAAAAGTGACTTACAGTTGAACTAAAGTGTGTCGACTTGACTTTAAACCGCCTTGCAGTCAACGGTGGCTGTGATTTATCGGTGAGAACTCAGGTGATGAGGACCTAGCAATAACAAACATTGTGGGTCAGTTAATAAAATAAAAAAATGCATGTTTTTAACAGGACCAAATATCTGATGGGAAATTTACCAAATGATCAGTCAAGACATGTTAAAAAGAGAACTCCAGCTATCCATTTTACCAGCAAGTCCCCTCTACACTCCATATGCTATAGAATAGACCCAAATATGTTGTCTAGCCTTCTCACCATCTTGTATGACAGCGGGATTACACTACACGTAATAGTAAGATGCACTCACTACTGTATTCTGACAGCTTTTAAAGTGATGTTTGTTGTTGGAAAACTGTGCAGAGGCATAAGTGTTATATGAGGAGCCTAAATGGAGCCCCACTGTTTCTTTGTGTGCTCTCCCAGCTAACTGCACTGCTGATAGACAGCACTATTAAGCAGTCATTAGCACCATGTCTGAAAGCTTGGCTTCTGTTGATAATAACAAGCTATTCAGTATTTTGAGCCTTTGTAAGAAAGAGGGCACCTAAATGAGAATAATGAGGTCATTTTATGACATGCCTGAGGATATGAAACCATGGGTAACTTTTTAGCCCGTTTGATATGTGAACACATTACATTAGACTGTGACAGATTATTTCTAGTCTTAAAAAAAAAAGCCACTTCCATTAAATCACACCATACAACATCAACCAAGTGGTAATCAAAAGACTGTAAAGCACAACCTTCAAAATAATTCTATGTAACCCAATCAAAAAGAAAACATATCTCTGGACAGATACGTGGAGTAGAGCAAGGGGCTGAATAGTGTCAGAAAACCAGCAAATTTTAACAGTTACCAAAGTTTAAAAGGATTTCATAACAAAAAGATTGCTTCCAATTCTGCATAATGTTTTCTTTTGCTGAATGAGATATGTGGACTGTTTTGGCTTGGAAAAGATGAACAAACTGAAATTTTAATTTTAGACTTGCTTCTTGCTTAAAGCTGTTGCTGTTTCTCTTGAAACTGGCTCACTTGCCTTTGCAACGGGGCCCAACATTTTACAGAAGGTTTTGTACCACGGGGCTATTTCCAGATTCTTCATACAGTCGAGCAGCCTGGGTTTTGAGTGAGACTATGGTGTGCATCCACTTCACATCACAGTCTCTTAGGTAGCATGCTGTTCCAATTCCTAGCTGTATTAGCCACGAGCAAATGCTACAACCTACATAGGTCTATGGATTAACATGGTTTAGTTTGTTGCTCAGCTTTGCAGTTTAACATTCTCAAACTTCACAATAGCAGTAGGAAGAGTCTCCCTTTTTTCTGGTTGTTCTCCAAGGCTGCTTCCCATGTTTCTGTCTCCAGAGGTGGGGCTCTGGGATTTTTCCTAGGCGTGCAAGTGTCACACAACATTCAGGCTGTGCTACTGAACAAAGGAAGCGTGCTGGCCCTTAGCTCTTTTTCTTCCTTTAGGAAAGCACAGTGACATTTCCTAGACAAGTTGTTTGTTTCTGCATCTAGTTCAGCTTCAATTTTATTGTATTTTCATTTTATGTTGTGTTTAGTGGTGTCATATGTGTGCAGCTAAAGGAGATCTGCATAATACAACTTACTACTTTGTATTCAGCTTCAGTCACTGTATGTTTGTTTAATGGTAGAGCCTAAACGCACAAGCACAGCTGCTAAGAACTCAGCGCTGAGGTTTGTGAGCTCCCTCCTGCCCTGGGCACCCACAGCAGCTGCAGCTGGTTGAGTATCAGGGAGTGTGAGACATGCTCAAGATATTGCCTGCGCTGGAGAGGACCTTTGCCTTAACGGGCTCCTGCGGCATCACCCTGACACACCTCGAGCCTGGAAAGAGGAGAAGGCCACAGTGCCCTTTCCTTGGGAACCACTGAAAACTTACTCATAAAGGCTTAAAGGAAAGGAGAGTGGTTGTGGGAGCAAGGGCTGGTAAAGGCACCACTTACTGGCAGGCAATTTCTCTTTGCACCCATACATGAGTTACCCTAGAGGGAAACAGAATGGCAAATTTGCTTCTGTTCCAGTTTCTCTCCTTTTAATTTCCATTTTCTTGGTTTTATTGTTTTTTACAAAGGATTAACTCAGCGGTTCCATTTAAACTAGAAGAAAAGGTTTAATTCAAATTATTCAGGGACTTTACAGACCGAGTTTGTAAAACTTTTTGACGTCATCAAGCACTTAAGCTTATTAAAGTTTTTCCTTTTTTAATTAAAAGACATTAATGAGTGATTGCCCTTTTTTAGTGGATACTTTTAAGATTAAGCCCCTCCAATCCTGGAATTGCAGAAATATGCACATGCCCTACCTGAAAGGCAATTACAAATACAGAGAATAGCACATGCTGTTTGTTTTATCATCTTAATGTTTCATTAGATGTTTGCTGGTTATGAATTATCTATCAGCTCAAACATAACCGTTAATTCTGATTACCGCTATTCTTGAATCACTAACAATCCATTCTGAATTTCAACAAAACACTGTTCTGGAAAAATGGGAAGGTAGGAAAAGGGACTGCTTCATGGTATCTTTTTGGTACATAAAATAAAGCACTTTCAAATAGACTATATATTTAAAATAGAGTGGTTATTCATTAGCAGAAAGGCTAGAAAAGAAAAAATGGTTTCTCGGTGTTCTCTCAAACAGGGGTATACACAATGGCTGGGGTGGCATAACCCTTCGCATCGGCCTAGCTCGGCCCCTCTTGACTTCCAAGGTGGGCAGAAACAGGCTCCAAGGACTGTACCTGGAATATTTTAATGGATCTTTACCATGGTCATAATTTACACTTCGGGCAGTCTTATTTTCAAAGCTGGAGAAGTAGTTATGCTGTTCATGAAATTAATTGCATAAGCCACGATAGTTAAATATAACGTGTATTCATTAAAGACTGTGAAATCTGTGAAGTTCTATTAAAAGCTAACAGATAATACGGACAGTGTAATTGCAGGGGGCAAGTCTGGCTTTCCAACATCAAGAGGTGGCTTAAGCTTTGTTTGTATTTTAGACATATTTCTCCAGTATGCACTGGATTAATCTGCTAGTGTATTTGGCTAGAAGGAGTAAAGGACAACTCACTGGGAGGGATTTCCTGCTACTTTAACTCTGTGCTTTTATGTACCGAACCTTTAGATTTCTACAGCATGTCCCGTTATATTTATCGGGTGTTTTTAGAGCCCAAGCTGTCAAAATTAGGTAACATGGGAACTTTAGGTCTTAATATTTTAGGTCTCAACCTTAGGTCAAAAATTTTTCTAATCCTTAAGTTTAAAGAGAGAATTCAAAAAAGTATGCTGAAAGACTCCAATGCTAAAAGCTAAATAAGAAGAAAACAGATTGTATTGTTTTTCATCTCACAATCTTTGGGTCAAATGCAGGATTTTTAGAAAACAATTTGTAATGCTTAGAATAATGAGAAAGTGCTTACATTATCAGAACCTAATCAGCAGAATCTGCAAAACTTCATTTAAATTCTTTCATTGAAGGTTTTTATTTGGCAGAACAAAGTAACTGTTTGTCTCAAGTACAAAAATGCTGTTGAGAAGAAAATCAAGCTGGTCTGGAATCTGCAAACTTAGGAATTCTTCTCCTCTGAATCATCTGAATTGATGTATCTGAATCATCTTACTTTTTAAATGGCTACATAATTTGGATTACAGCATTTCTGAAGCTATGTAATGGGCAAGAGTTCTCATGAAAAAAATTCCAATGCCAACTTGCTACCATGTTATGACACTGCAGTCCATAAGAGGTAATTATGAAAAGGAAGATAATCTGACAATCATGTTTTAAGCTATGACTTTTTCCACTGATTTTAATATAACAGCTTTTCTAAAAGAAGGAATTTTTTTCCAAGGAATTAAGTGCTTGATAATAATTGTTGTGTTTTCTTTCTCCTCTCTAGTGTTCATAATGGCTTCTGGGCTTTTGGTTTACCCTTTTGGTTTCAACTCTGCTACTGTGAAGAGATTCTGTGAGAATTCAGACATCTACTATGCAGGAGACTGCCAGATTGGCTGGGGGTATATGCTGGCAATTGTTGGGGTCATGTTGTCTGTCTTTTTACCATTCTTTGCAAAATATGCACCAAAAGAGCACATATCTCCAACTCCAATACCTACTATTTTATAATATTTTATTACTGTTTAAGAACAGAACATTCCTGTCTACAGGTAATGGGCAGAAATTATAATAGCACTTCCATTTAGCTGTATTGCTAAAGAGAGTAAAAAGGAGATGGGGAAGAGAAGGTCAGATTCACAAAGACCAAAAGTGCATTGATAGTCTTCCGTAAGTATGAGCAGCGAACACTCTGGAATTTAAATAAGATTAATCAGCAGCCTTTATACTGCTCTAAACATATAGTGGCATAATGCCTTAGACAAAAAAAAAAAAAAAATCTGTTTATCCTCAAAACATCTGTCTACCTCCCAGTTTCTTTTGTGTCTCAAAATCGTAAGTCTTTTTAAAGCTTCAATTTACTTTTTATATATTATTAAATGTCAGAACTTTTATTAAGCCAGTAATTTTAAAATCAATAGAGATATTTTGTTACAATCATTTTGATTAGTGAAAAAAGCCTCAGCCTAAAGTTAAGCTTGATATCTAAAAATAATTGTATACAAGAAAAAAGTTTCTTTTTAATCTATACATATTTGTAGTATCTGCATATTGTAAGTTGTCGGCACACTTTTTAATTTTGATCTGATCTTCAAGTTTTACATTCATCTTCATGAAGACTTGCATAAAATTTAGATGCCTTTTTTTTTTTTCAGAGAGAGAGAGATCTAACTACTTCCAAAGGCTTCATGATGATTTAATAGTTTAACAGAAGAAAAAATAATGCTAGGAATTTGTTTTTGGTATTTCTTAAATTTCTTTAAAAATTATTTGAACTATCACAACTTTAGAATTTGGGTATTGTTGTTTGTTTTTTAAGACTGAAAAGAAAAACCTCTGTTTACAAAAATTTATGTGCCCGATAGCCCTTGTATGTAGTGATAATACAAGCCAGAATGAACTAGATGCTAATATTTCCATTCCTATTAAGAGCCCATAATTGTAAAAAAAAAAAAAAAAAAAAAAAAAAAAAGGAAAGAAAAAAAAAGTGACCTGAAATGCTACTGGACATGACTAATAAGAATCTGGTGCCATGTCAGAATTAGCAAATGGACATATTTCATGTGTTTGTATGTGAAATTTGTGAAGTTGGATTGCCACCATAGCACTGAATGTGTTACTGTCGAGCATTGAAATAAGTGCACTTGATTGCCTTAGGCAAAAGAAACATTGGGTTCTAATCTCACCCCACTGTTATGTTTTTCATTTAAATTAATTCTATTCTCATCTTTTATTTTCTATTATTTATTAAAAAAGAAATAATCACATAGATTATATTTAATTCAGAGCTGTAATTCTTAGTTTTGTATTTTGGCACAAACCAAGTGATCAAATTTATTATTCTTCACTTAGCTGAGTCCAACTGATTCCTGAATTTCTTTTTTTTTTCCTTAATGAAAAGTGTACATGAAGGGACAGACAGAGATATGTTGAGGATGTATAGGAAAATATAAACAGATAGAACAATCACTGTGTTACTTTAATAAATGTCAAAGACTTCTGCAGTCTTGTTTACATTCCTCACCCTCCTAAACTTCAATGGAACATTGCATTGTTTTCTAAAATAATTGTCTGTTGTTACATTTTCGTGCACTCTAAAAGTGAATTCTGCACATAAACTTAGCAAGTTCCATTACTAATATTTGAAAATACATATTTCAATGTAGAATTAAGTACACTGAGAAAGAGACAGAGAGCGCATGCTATGCGGTTTTGCTCGCAGTGACTAAGGAATTAAATCTTGGTTGAAGGAATGCCTCTAAATTAAGAAGAATAAATTTCAGTCATTTCTGTATAGTAATGTACTTTTCAGTAATGTCTTACATGTCTTTTAATGAGTGGCTGAAATTGATCATTTTTATATAAGAGTCAGAAAAGTGAGGAATAACAAACAACATGTAAAAAGAGAATCATCACTGCGAAGCAGAGAGACAGAGATGCAGACTTTTCTTTCCTAACCAACCTGTGCCTTTACACTAGAACCATTATACAAGACAGGATCAATGTGGTTAAAAAAACAAAAACAAAATCACCAACAACTGAAAAATGTTGAGTAATGTGTATAAACTGTATTACGTAGGGTTTTTTCCGTTTTGTGTAATGTTTACGACTGTTCACTTAATGTTTCACTAGAAAAAGTGATTTGTTAGTGTAAAGTAGAAAACTTTTTTTGCAAAGATCTAAACACTTACTAAATGTAAAATTATTTTAGATTTTTATTAACAGCCATAACACACCTAATAGACACAAATGACCTATTCCTGTCATTACTTACTAATGTAACTTTCCCATGTGCAGAACTGGAACCAATCATTCAGCTGAAATCATTTGGGACTACAACATTTGGGTGATGTTAAGGACACGCACAGATGCTTGCAGGTCTGGTCCCACCATTCAGGCTTCCTTTGTAGTTTTCAATTACTGTTACAATGGAGTCTTAAAATTTACAACACTGTTGTAGCAAACCCTTTACTGCTTAAAACTCAACTTCTTCTGTTGTGAACATCAGAACATGTCCTGTAATATTCTGCACCTTTTATAAGTTAAGCTAATGCTTCCACTTGGAACTTTCTTTAATATTTTATAATATATAAGGGAAATCAAATATATGTATATGACCTCTACAACTGGATAGACGAAACTCTCTTTGAAACATCCACACTCAGAACCATCTTAGCACAGAAGGTAGAGATGGTAACGCAAGCGATTCTTACAGAAGTTAGTAAAGCACATACTTTAAATCCTTGACGGGAACATTAAGGGGAAGTGTTACTAACAGTACATGTGCTAACACTAACAGATCACTTTTTTAAATAGAGACTGTCTGCGCGTTAAACTGTGTAAAAGCGTTTTCCTGTTACAAGTCAAATGATTTACTGGACCAGGTTCAAGTTTTATTCTAAATATATAATTTTTTAAGTGTAACTAAAAGCTGTATTTTCCATTAATGTGTTTCTGCATTGACTAGCTGGCTCCTTTTTAGAATATTAACTGTTTTCTGTATTTGACTTGTTGGATACAATATTTCAATTATTTTAAATGTGAAATTTCCAATTGCCAACACTGTATAATAAAATTAAAAAACCCAAAACAACACACTGCTCACTATTTTCTTGACAACTCTCTTGTTTTACAATTCCCAACAGATCTGGTACAAAGCTATTGAAGTAGGGGAACTAGCTAAGG